TTATATTCAATTCGTACTCTCTCTCTTCTTCTCTTGTTCACATGTTATTTCATGCTCTTAGTATGCATAACACTTGTTATCATTTTATATTCAATTCGTACTCTCTCTCTTCTTCTCTAGTTCACATGTTTATTTCATGCTCTTACTATGCATAACACGTGTTATCATTTTATATTCAATTCGTACTCTCTCTCTTCTTCTCTAGTTCACATTTTATTTCATGCTCTTACTATGCATAACACGTGTTATCATTTTATATTCAATTCGTACTCTCTCTTCTTCTCTTGTTCACATGTTATTTGAGATTTTGCTTCTGTCGACCATGTTTTGGATCGTACTCTACTTCTGGGACAGTGGAATTTGTTTTTATGTAGTTTTTTCGAAACTTTCATGTTTAGACTCTTAGCATTACTCATGTGTGTAGGTTAAAAACGTTAATTCTCAGCTCCTCTGTCGTTATTTGGATTTCATCTTTATAACGCATTTACAACATGAAAAAAAATCGTACTTTGCATTTGTGGGTATATATCTATATATATATATATGCAAAGTATGTATAAATGTGTGTGTGTGTGTAATATTTTTAATGTATTTCCTTCTATGCTTTTGTATTTCGTCTTATGACTGAAATACGTAAGGTATTAATGAATACAGACCAAATATATTTTAATTAGAGCTGAGCTGCAATTTTTTAATAAACAGTATTTTCTCTACTGATCGTTTTTGCTTTCTTTTGTAATTCATAAAATTTGATATTTTTCAAAAAACGGGAAATACTGTAAAAAATTAAGTAATTTATAAAGTTTTTAAAGTATAATTTTCACAAAGTTTGTACGCAAAGTTCCAGCGATGTCATTAATTCAGTTATGAACAGCGGAGTATTATTATTAGCTTAAAACAAAAGAAAGTCAGGCAAGATAGATTATTTCAACTCCTCCAAAATGAATTTCTGTTATTAACAAAACTTTGCAGCTAGGAAAAGACCAATTTAAACTTAAATGTAGTGTTAATGGAAACGTACACACAAGTTTGTGCATATACTCTATCTGATATATGGTATCGAATCAGTTTTATCTTCTTCTAACTAATTAATCAGTTCTTCATATTTCGAACCAAATCATCTTTCAGTCTAGATTTTCAAAAGTGTATTGTTAAGTATCTTATGTTTTCTTATGCTCGCTGTCTGTACAGTTTACGTAAGTTGAGTGAGATCGCTAGGCTGTATATCTTTTAATGTCATTCTTCCGAACGGTTAAGTTTAGTTTTGGCTCCTTTCCAGTTTGGAATGGTTAACTACTACTTGTTACTGAGGGTGTAATCGAAACCATATGTTCCAATTGCTAGAAACATTGATGGACCGTTTAGAACCTTTCAAGAGTTCTGTATACAAAATAACCTAAATAAACTTTAGTTTAAAATATATTTTTTACGATTTCTTTTCCAACCACGTGCCCGAAATAAACTTTCTACCAAGGTATGACGCACGAGCATAGATCTATTATACTATAGAAATCATTGGTGTCTTCTTACCAAGATGGAGGTAATATGGGAGCTTCTTACATATACATGCACTCATACTTAATTCGTTATACGTTCGTAATAGTATAGTATTGTACACTTAGAATATATATATATATATGTGTGTGTTTGTATATTGATAAGAACTATAATTAATGCTTATAAAACTAACATTCGGAGGTGCAGAAACGTTCAACTATAATCAAATGTGTGTAAAGTTTTAACTGAAACAAACTAATAAAAGAAACGTATACAATCACTGATTTGGCGAAGTTTACGGACTAAATTCCAGAGTTTGATTCCCCGCGATTGACAGAGCTCATATGTATCCTGTTGTGTGTAGCTTTGCGTTAAAATATAACAAACGTTTACAGCATGCTGGGGATTGTATTGTTTGTAGATGGGTGTTTTATAAACTATTTTGGGAATGTATATTGTAAAACAAAAACGTATACACATTTGTAGATGCTTCAATAATTTCAACATCATTACGTGCCGATTCTTAGTATTCTCATCACTTGACCGAAAACTCATGAGTTACAAGGCTAACACACACACGCTATACATGAAAAACATCATAACCCCCATCCTCAAAATTTGAAGTTTCTCACGCATCATAAATAAAGCTATGGAAGTCATACGTGGAATATTGTTGCTTCTATGTGCATATTTACTTGAACGGCATTTGAGTTTTTCTTTGAGAAAATGTCTTAAGTAAGTGTAATGTGTGTTTTATACAACCTGCCACCTCTCTAATAAGTCCCCCGCCCTTGCCGGTGATTCAGCGGTAAACTTGAGAGTTTCTTATGGAAAAGTTTGAGATTCGATCCCTGCGGTGGGCAGCTTTGTGCTTAAGAACAAACAAACAACAAAACTCTTGAGTAAATTGACTTTAGCACAAATATGTTTTCGTTTCTGTTTGTTACAAACATATTTGGCGTTGAGTTAGGGAGGGCAGTTTTGATTTACTCTTTCATTTGAGTGAATTTCAAGAAAACCAGATATGTCTAAGTCGAGTACTTGCAGGTTTTAATGAAATAAGTTTTCAAGATACAGTTGTTTTCTTCCCACCTGACGTATTTCTTTATAAATTTGTTTTACCTGTAAATATGCTGCCGAGATTTGATGAACTGTTCTAACAGAATCTCCACCTTACCCCCCCCCCCTCAAGTGTCTTTCTGTTCTTTCGTATGTATATATATTTGCTATAATTGTAATTCATTTAAATTACTACATACAAGAAAAAAGTTCTTGAAATCTGTATTGATCCAGTAAAGACATGAAATACAGTTTTCAAAACACTATAAACTATTTTACTAATTTGTGACATACACAATATGCTGGCGACACATTACTATTAAAAACAAAAGATTAAAAAAAAACGTTGCATATCATGAATATAAGCATAAGCTATTTTTTACTCTCAAATTACTGACTCGTTTTGTACTATTCGCTACAGGCCAGATCTACACACACTGCAACGTGGTGAGTGAATTAATGTTTTTATTAAAACACAGCGGTCACGGTTGGCTCGAGAGTAAGCTCGCGGGTTTATAACGCTACAAAAGCGAGTTCGATACCTGCTGTGAGTGCAGTGCAACTAACCTATTGTGTAGTTTTGTGCTTTAAGAAAAGTGTAAAGAACCGATCAAAATAACTGAGTGAAACCATTTATTTTCTAAGTAACACATAGCGGATCCCCAGCAGTAATAATGAGACTTAATGCGATATTTTTACTTACATTTTTTGTCGTGTGACTCCTGAGTTATCAGGTCCAACAAATCCACGGACCCACAAGCAGTTTTGTGCATGAATAGTTTAAAAAGTTATGAAAGGTCAACGGTTATTCTAGGGTTAAATGGGTAAGTAACAATATTTCAACAATAAAATTTTGAGTGGTGTTGGCATCTATCAGGATTGGTTGTCCATTCGGGATATGCATTGACAACCATATTTCAGGGTAAAATACGATGCGTGTCAATAGACAACAGCTTATTCAGGTAATAGTCGTTTGCTGTCGTACCGCTTTGAGGACTTTTTTGAAAACAAAAAGTCAAATATAAGAATTATTTGCTGAGATAAGGACAAAAACACTAATAAAACAAAACATAATACTGTTTACTGCTCAGAAATCTACATAATCTGAAGCCTAAGTAAGTGAAAAATGTATGATCTTTGTCGTGTTGAATCGAGTTTAAGGAGTCTGCATTCTGTTTGTTTCGTAGTTCAGGTTTCCAAAACTACAATTGACTCTCTGTATAGTATCAACTCGTCTTGGGGTGCTTGGTGTTCTGTTATATAATCAAAACAATATAGTATCTATCATCACCAAGTGATAAAGCCTATACA